AAAAAAAAAAAAAAAATTCTAAATATGACCAATTCACTCCCAACTAACAATCTGGAACTCTGGCATAACATGATGGTCACAGGCACAGACTCAGCCTCTTGCCACTTGGTCCCACGGCCTGGCTGCTATTGTTAGAACGCACCACAGGCTCAGGCTCTGGGGCTCCCATGTTCACCCAGCTCTTCGCTCCGGCTCGCACTCTTCCAGTGCCTGCTGTCATGGGTGCTCAAAGGTACGTGTTCAATGAACGAGAGGGGTATTTCTGTCTCACATCACCTGTGTGGTGAAAGCGCCTGGCTTTGTGACCTAGAAGTGGCAGCGCAGGGCTGAGCTTGGGCCCCATCACTTACCAACTCTGTGCCCTGCACCTCATTCAACTTCCCCGAGCCTCTTTTCTCATAAATAAAGCAGAGCTAACAACTACACAGCAGGGCTGTTGTAAGAACTGCCCCAGCAGATATAAAGTAAGTAAAATATATAAGGACAATGCATGTAAAAACAACAGCTATGGGAAGTAAAAACCACTCCATATATTTCTTCCTGTTTCTACAGTACTGAGCTGAATGCAAACAGTAACAGCTTATGCATGACCAGCGTTTTCTGATCACGTACTGAAATTAATTTGGGATCAGAAAGGATAATCCTCAAGTCTGCATCCTTTCCAATGCTACTGGAGTCTCTACAGAAACTGGCTCTATTTGGTCCCTTCATTCAGGAGTGAATGCATCCTCTCGAGAGGCAATCTGCTTCTCATAACTGACTCAGTAATGCAGGTCTTTAGAAATTCAATTCCTCTTTCTGCTTTCATTTTTTTAGGCAATAGTGGGATCTGTGGCCACTTTGTAAATTTTTTTGAGGCAGGATCTTGCTAATTCACAAGTTGTCCAGGCTGGACTCAAACTTTCAATCTTACCTCACAGAGTGCTGGGATGACAGGTAGGACCTCCACACCCCGCTCTTTTAAATGAGTAATTCTGCTCAAGTTTATGGTGCATGGAAGCTAGGCAGGGCAGGGGGGCTGAGCATCTCACGGTGGCCATCACTCACCATGCAGGCGGCCTGGACTGCCTCGGACACATTGGCGGCATTCGGCTCGCACCAGAACACGTGGCACTCAAAGCGCTGGCTCCCGGTGTCCATGATGAAGGCAAACGTGTGGACATCCTTCCCGACGCCCATGAAGGACAGGAATCGCACTCGGCACTCCACCAGGACCTCCTCTTCACTCTGCAAGAGTCACCATTGACTGTTCAGCGTCACACTCCCCAGGAAGCCAGGCCATGTCACCAAAATGCTCCCATCTTAAACAAGCCACACAACTCAGCAGGTAAGATGTGGTATTATGACGTGGTTACACTGAATTCAGAAAGGACCCGTGACTGTCTAGAGAGGAAAAACTCTGCCTAAGTGTCCAGGGGCCCCTACTGCTGTGGGCATCTGCTGACGTCTCATCTAGCTCTGTGCTGTACTGCTGCCCTGGTATGTGACCTGTGTCCCGTGCTTGGCCACGATACCCTGTGTGTGTGAGCTCAATGTGGGGAGGAACAGTGTCACACAGCCTTCTAATATACAGGGCACCCAGTGGCTCAAGACCAGCGTGTCCACAGGAACTGCAGATACCACCGCTCTTCATCTGGCTCCTCCACCCAAGGAAACCACACACTGAATCATATTTCTACCTAGATCCGTGTGATACAAAAAGTTGCCAAATCAACAAATTTGTCAAATAATTGTTTTGCCTCTCCACAAACTGCGATCCCTAGGAGGCATCACAAAGCGATGCCTGCGATTCATTCTTCTGTAAAGGCTATATCCTTTGCTACAACCACATGTGATTTTTGAACGAGAAAACACAGCCAGAAGGCCGCTTTCAGATCATACTATCCTGACTTAATAAACAGTCACTCAGGTGCAAGGGGAGTGGTTCGCAGGTGCACTGCGCTGGTCTGAGAGTTCAGAGGGTTTTCCCAGGAGATGCTGAAGCTGGGACCTGGATGAGGGGCCTAGAAGAAGCGGCCCTGGCCGAGACACGGAGACCTAAAGGCATGGAGGGATAGGAGGAGATCCAGCTCGGCATGCGGATGGGCAAGCAGGTCAGCGAGCACCCTCCCTGTTCAGAGATGAACAGCGTTTCATGAAGGTGACCTGCAGGTGGGCAGGCGGAAGCACAAGCCGGCCAGTGACCTGAGGTCCTTCCAGGACAGGTGCTTCACAGGCAGGATGGGAAGGTGGGGCGGTGCCCGGAGCCAGAATGCCTAGTATCAAAGCCTGGTCCTGTACTTCTACCTGTGCGATACTAGGCAAGCTGCTGACCTCTGTGCTTCTATTTCCTCAGCTGATTTGTACTGAAGCTGATGCTGGCCTCTGCCGAGATGACCAAGGACCCTTCTACAGCTGTCAGAGTGAATCCCTGAGCCTTCTTTCACCGAGACACCTTCTGCGTCCAATCCCTGCCAACACGGCCCAGTCCGCATGGAGCCCTGAGAGGAGCAGGCCAGAACCCAAGCCTAAGTGCCACACAGTTGCCTCCAGCACACAATTTCAATCTCTTGGGCAAATGAGGAAGACAGATCAGGAACATCAGGACAGAAGATTTCAGATCCAAGGGAAAGCACAGGTGGGCAGAGAAGGAGACAAAGGCCAAATCCTTTCACGAGTATAGGGCGTGTGAACCACAAGCAAGTGCAGCACCAGGAGCTGAAGCGCTGGCTGTTTCACAGGAGTTCGTCGTGGCCAAAACCTCACTGCAGCCCAGACAGGCCAATGTCCTGCGTGACCCCTCACCTTCTCACTGATGACTGTCACCGTGGCATCGGCCACATTCATGTTCACTGATGGCCAATCCTCCTTGTCAGATGAGGTCATCAGACTTTCTATGGCACCGTTCAGGGTCTCCATGCCTGTGGATGGAAAAGAAGATTGAGAAAGCCCTAAAGTTGTCAACGACTCTCAGAGGTGGGCCCAATCACCCATGGACAGCCAAACCCAGGTTGATCTTTCTTTAGCTACAAAAGACGTTTCACACTTTATTCTCATGCTTGCCCAACAGCAAAGAAATGCTAGACTTTGCAGCAGAAAGAAGGGGCATGAGCTCCTGCGGAGATCTGGCTTGGGGTGTCCTGTCATTCCAATCTCTCTCTCAAGCCTCCTCAGCCCGGGGGTGTGAACAGGCCTGGCTGTGTCCTCACAGGAGCTTTGCGAAGTGGACCCTGCAGAAGCCAGCATCTGCTGGGGCATCTGATCATCTTGCATCGTACTTGACATCTAAATAAGGCCAGGTGTGATGGCCCCTTTACATGACCGGCACGTGCTTTTCACTGCTCCCTCTGTTGGGTCTTCCACAGGCTTTTGCAGGGACTAGGAGAAGGAGGGACAACTTCACTGTGATAGAAACCACATAGAACTGACTCAATTTGTGTATAAATTCAATGGTTCCTAGCATATTCGCAGAGTGTAACTACCACCAAAACCAACTTTACAACAGTTTTATCAACCCAAAAAGAAGGCCTGTACCTTTCAGGAGTTACACTCTTTTCCTGGCAACCACTTTCTTGCCTCTGTGTCTGGGGATTTGCCTATTCTGGGTATGTCCTCTAAATGCAACCACACAGCATGTGATTTTTGTGACTGACTTCTTTCACTTGGCTTTAACATCTCCAAGGTTCATCCAGGCTGCAGCATGTTTCAGTATTTTGTTTCTTTTCATCTCCAAATAAAATTCCATTAATGAAAATATCATGTTTTATTTAATCATTTGTCTATAGACGTTTGGATTTTTTACCTTGTTTTTTTTTTAACTATTATGAACAATGCTGCTAGGAACATCTATGGACAAGGTATCCTGTTGCCAGATGTTTTCACTCCTCTTGGGAACTGCTGGGTGAAAGGTAATTATGTTCAACTGTTTGGTTTTTGTTTTTGTTTTTTTTTTTCCAGTACCAGGGATCGAACTCAGGATCGTGAGCTTGTGAGGCAGGTGCAGTGCCACTGAGCTAAATCCCTGGCTACGTTCAACTTTTTGAAGAATAGCCACACTGCGTGCCTGAGCACATGCATCATGTTCCAATGTCCCCGGTGCAGCATGGTGGTTCCAATTTCTCTCAGGGAATGGCAACCTTGCCCAGCCTCGCTTCAGCATGGCAGAGTTGAGTGACCCCGTTGTGCCACTGGGAGGTAAACTCAAGGCTGTGGGTGTCTCTTCTTGGTCACAGCCCCTCAGTCCTTAGGGCTGCCTGCTCCCAGACAATGACACTGGAAGCAGGACTGGCCCTGGAGATGGAAGCCCCACTGGAGAATGGCAGAGGACGCCCACAGTCCTCAGCCCCCAGCTCTGGATGGCTGGGTAGATGAGAAACACACACCTGTCTCCCCAAGTCCTTGCGTGCCAGGGTCACACATCCAATCTGCTTAGCCTATGCTGTAAGGCTCATTTGATCAGGGTTGTTTATGAGCTCTGACTGGTGACAGCACGAGAGCTTGATTCCTGACAAGCAAGGGAGTAACGTGGTAGACCTCACCTTGTGGGAAGGTGAAGCCCTCCCATGAGCCCTGCACTGCAGAATGGAACGCTGCAAAGTGGAAAGACAATAAAAGTTTTACCTACCAACTGGCCTGTCTACAGGTAACATGCCCAGGTACTGCACGTGGAACTTCTGGACCAGCTCAGTCTTTGGTGTTGGAAAATCTACTACGGGAAACAAAAGCAATACAGCTTTCTTAGTGCTTCTTGCATCCCAGTGAAAAGCAGACATCACTCTAGATCTAGAATGTCCCGAACACCACCAGTGCCTGATGGCCAGTTTCTGGATGTGGTATAATGGTGTTTCTTACTCCAGACACTGGGGCACTCAGTCAGGATCTATCTAGCTTTCATGCCAAGGCAGCAAAGCATTTGAAAGCAGCCACTGGATGTGTCAAGGCTGTTATCTTCTCCGGTGTGTGCTAAGAAGCAGCTTTGGATGTCCTATTTGTTACGTGTGGCCGATGCCCAAAGAAATTGCAATCACAGACACGGGAAAAATAACTGAAGAGAGTTCCTCAAACAACAATCTACAATTTTTAACCTAAGCAGTTCTTACTCCAGGCTAAATATGAAGTATAAAATGAATGACGATAATATTCTTTAATCTTGTCCAAGAGCAATAAAACCTACCTGCCCTTTACACCTCACCCTGACACAAAATTAACTCTGGCCCTGTCCCTGTGTTTGCTGAGTTCGAAATGCCTTTTAAGGAGTTTTGAAACACCAGAGAAGCACCTGAGATTCTTCAGTCCTTGTCCAGATGGAGGGCACCATAGGGAAGGGGAGATGGCCTCACCTACCTTGCAAGGGAACATCAAGATTCACGTTGGTCCTCTCCTGTAGGGAGCTGCAGGCCAGGGCTTTGGCATTCTTCCGTTCGGCCATAATCTAAAGGGTAAGCGAAAACCCGGCTTTGGTTCATGGTTCAGGCTCCCATGTCTTCAGCTGGTCTGGCCAGTAGAGGGTCTGAGCTGACTTCACTTCCAAGTTAACTAGCTTTAGTCTCTTCCCTGATATCCCACCCCACATCTCTGGGCTTCATATACAGTTTGAGAAGTCTGCTTATTCTCTAGGAATAACAGGTGAACTGTTGGTTGGACTCACAGCCCCCTATTGTCTGGAACTTGCTTATTATTTGGAACTTATAGCACTCCCTGCCTGAAAAAAACCCCAGCAGGTAACCTCTGGCCCAGCCTGCCGCCGGCGCATGGCGAGGACACAAAGCGAGCGACCTGCCCCAGTGCTTCCTGATCTGCTATTCAGATACTCCTTTCAGGGATCTGGAGACAGAGCACACGTGCTCAAACCCACCTGTGCCACTCACAAGGTGTGTGACCTTGGGCAGGTCACCGGCCTCCTGTGTCTCGTTTCCTTGACTGCATGTGGGGATGACCATGGTACTTATGTGACAGGGAGGTTTGGAGGATTAAATGAGTGACTATGTCAAGAAGTCAGAGAGGGTTCAGAATGTCCGCTGGGGCTCACTGTTGTTCTCGAACTTTCCTTTACTGACATCTGCAGTGCTTGCCCGTTACATGTGCTGGGGGATCAGAGACAGGAAGAAGCCCTTCACTGACCTCAGCAGTAACCCAGCCTGCACCCTAAGCCAAGCTTTTCCCTGCAGGGGCGTGAGAGTCACATCACCCCCGATCTCCAGATCTGTGTCTGGGACGCACACAAGAATGCCGCTAGCAGAAAAGCTGCATGTTTCCTGGCGCTTCCTCTGGGCCAGGCCAGGTTCTGAGGGCTTTGCACTAGAGCCTAAGCTTCCCAGGGAAGGGCTTTTCACTGTTTCAGATGCCGCTGTCTGCGCAGTGACCCAACAGCACTTGGCATGTAAATGGCATCCAGCTGTATTTTTTGTGTGAACGAAGGAGAAAAACGAAAGCCAGGGTGTGCAACACGTGGCCAGTGGTGCGGACGCGCTCCAGTCCCGTCAGTGCAAGGACGCGAATGCAGGCTGGGAGAAGCACGGTGAGCTCTAGACCAGAGACTGTTCTGCAAGCCCTGCCTGCAGCGTGGTGAGGGCAGCAGACTGGTAAGGGTTTTACTTTGGGGGCTGCTTTACACCTGCAGCTCAGGGTGGACTGCTGGGGCCAGGCTGGCTGTTCTCACTCTGAGACGAGGGGACTCTAGCTGAGGAAGCAGAATCTTTACCAGCGTGGAGAGTGACCACGGCCTCCTAGCTGGAGAATGAACTCCTGTGAGCCGTCGTTTGTCACCGTTCCCGGCAGCCTGCACTCCCACACCCCGATGGTCTCCCCTTCCTTTGGTCCTGTTCTCTCTGAGCTCACTTTTGGGAATGTTGTGTTCCCAGACCACACTTGCCCCATTTCTCTGGGGATGTGTGGCCACCTCCGCACCCTGGCTGACCGGTCATACAGACACACCTCAGCCTGTTCAAAGGCACAGCTCTCCGTGGTTTTGTACAGAATGCTGCCGAGGTAACACCTGCCCTTGGTGGGAGAGGGTTCTTAATGCCATGCGCCCAACAATCTGTCTGCTTCCTCTGAATTCAACATGCAAATCCACTCTGGCCCTTCCTCACCCCTCTATCTGCTCCAGCGATGAGAAGAGAGAGAGGTGGCCCTCGCCCTCCTTACCTTGGAACAGATTTCGTGGAGACTTGTGGCGATGGCTTTTGCTGGTGTGTCACATCGAAATACATGACATTTCAAAATCCTTGTGTCTCTGTCTCTTGCTACATAAGCAAAATCCCTGTGCAAACAAAAATTTATCAGGACATCAGAAAAAGGAACCTTTCACCAACACAAACTCTAGTTAGGAATGTTAATGGAGTTAGCAGCCAGTGTGTGAGTAGTGGACCAAGTATGCAATGATCTTTTAATTAAACAAAATTACAACAGCTAGAGAACATAGAAGCACAGTTTTACGGATAAGAGGAGTGGATTTCTAAGTAACATATCTACACTGTCCTCCAAGTCCCATCTCTCGGACTCTTGGAATTGCTAACAACACTGAACATACACTGGATTTTGCAGAATGAACACTGGATTTTGCAGTCCATCTGGTGTAATAACGAACACCACGCTTACCCAACAGAACACAGGCTTGGAAGAGCACAAATTGCATGAGTGGCATAAAGACAAACACAGTGGTGCAGCTGAAGCGAAACAAGAGGCTCGATGTGTGAATGGAGGACGGCCAGACCCAGAGCTGCCTGAAAAGTCGATGGGCGATCAGAGGGAGCGCTGAACACAAAGCCACAGGGGCTGGAATCCCATCAAAGGCATCGGATTTACAGAAATGCTTCTCGCACTTGGGCTCCCAGGGAGGCAGCAGCATTGCTGCTCTACATCCCGTTAGCTCAGACGCCAGGGTGAGCAAGCGCCGCTGGATTTTGGCGTTTGTTTTACTGATGAAAAGGATATACACTACGGCGCTACTCGGCTTCACAGAATCACACGCTACAGCTAGATTTCCCCGTTACGACTGGAGGTCAGTGGTTCAAAGGCGAAAGCATTCATGAAAAATAAATGCTCAGCTTTCCCATCCGGTCATGCATCACAATGACTGATCTGCGCATGACGCCGAGCCAGGGTACTGTCTGCTGACGGAACTACGGATGAATTTATGTTTGAAGTATTACCCTTAATGGGAGAATTGGCAGTCTTTTCACAGACTTCAAGTCCTTTCCTCAAGATAGCCATGGTTTCCTCAGAAAGGTGTAAGGATCTACCACTGAGGCAAAGCACCTCTGTGAAGGTCTGGCCAGAAAAAATGTGCAGTTCAGGTGAGGGAGAGTGGGTGGGAGACAGACTCCAGAGGAGCCCATTTCCTTGCCTTGCATGCCCTGGGTGGCCCTGCAGGGGGCTTCCTAACCCAGCCTGCTGGTCAGGCCATCTCGACCCCCTGACCTGTAGGCGCCTGAACCCCGGCCTGGCCACACCTGACTGGCCATCCCTATGGTCTAGCTCAGGCAGTGTCCTCTGCACTAGAACCAGACCCCCACCTCGGCCTCCATCCTGTTTACCACCTGGAAATCTCCTGAACAACTTGCTCCCTTTCCAGCCCCCCAGCACTCAGCATTCTGTCCAGGTCCTGGCCTCTGCCAATGTTCACACTGTCTCCACTGGGCTGCCACTGCCCAACCAAGGCTGGGGGTGGGGGCACCCCTTTCCGGTGGCCCCCAGCTCCTTGTACACACTGTGCTCACAGTCGGTCCTAGAAGTGTCTAGTCTGTCTTCCTCTACTCCTCGAAGCTCTGTGAAAAGGACAGGCGCTTCACCATCTCCAGCGCCTATCGCAGCATCTAGGAACGTCTGCTGACTGAGTGCCCCATCCTCCCTGAAGCACATGCCTTGTCCTACCGTTCCTGCTTCCTGTAGGGAAAGCTGGCCCTTCAGCAGAGGTGTGAATGGCTCTACAGCAGAGAGAGGAGGGCTACATTTGGTAAGGACTGGGGTTCACAGTCTGAGGGCCGAGCACAGTCTTGTTCCATGCTGGGTTCCTGAGACCTTTTCATCTTTGTGTCAACCACTAGCAAGGTTGCTCAGAAAGAAACAATCCACCGTTGCACACCAGGCTCAAGGGAGCCCTTGTTTTTGGTTCCCCTCCGACTAGCTCTTGTTTTTGAGGTATATCACTGAGTACCATACACAAGGTCTCACCACACACAATTCTTCCTGTAACGTGTTCACAGTGGGGCCGTAATTCATGTCTCACTGACAGGCGGCTTGAACCACCTGTGCTACATGCATGACTAACCCATTGGGTAGCTTTTTATTAACCTTACTAGTAAAATGACCGATAAAAGTGATTAGATCGGTTTGGACCACCAGTGGCTCAAGCCGGTGGGGATGTGTTAAACACTCAAGTTCAGCAGCCATTTTCCCAAGACTAAATCCCTGAAGCTCCTTATGGTCACCCACACAAAGTTCAGAAGCCTTTCAATTTTAAGAGCTGCAAGATTTGCCCCACTAATTTTCTGGTGTCATTTTCTAACTGAGGAGCTCTCCTTCTGCTCCAGCAAATGTGGGCTCAATGTCCACTTGTTGTGGGATCTCCCCTTTCCCGGGGACCACTGGCCTCCCCACATTGTCCAGAGTGGACCTATACTCTCAGGACAGTCCACCTCCCAGGCCTGCCTGGCCCTCTGGCCCTCAGGGTCCTGCCACTGTCTAAATGCTCACACGAACTCTGCCCCACAGAGGAAAAGTACCTGTAGAGATACCCCATCGCTAGTGTGATTGTACAGGTCTCAGCTGTGTCTGTCCTCGCCAAGAGACAGCAGGAAGCAGCCAGAGGGGTGCTGGATCAGGATGGAGGCAACCCAACTTCAAGTCTCATTCATGGTCCCCTACTAGGTTGAGCATCCCAAATCCAAAAATCCAAAAAGCAAAACTCCAAACTTCTTTGGGCACAGACATGACGCCACAGTGGAAAATTTCACACCAGGAAACTTTGTTTCATGGACAAAATTATTAAAAATATTGTACAAAATTACTATGCATATGAAACAAATAAATTTCATTTTTAGACTTGGATTCCTTTCCCAAATTATCTCATAATATACATGAAAATCCCAAATCTGTAATACTTGTAGTCCCAAACATCTTTGATAAAGGATGCTCAAACTGTACAACCTTGGGCATGGAATTCAACATCATCTTTAAGTTGAGGGGGTGGAAAACTTAATTTCCAAGGTCTCCCCCTGGTGCTGCTATTCTCTGACGTAAGCTTCCCTGTGTAGCACTCCCTGTGACCACCGGCAAGCCTCAGGGTCCTGATCCCCAGGTCACCAACAGGGAGGATGAACAGAGCCTGGTTGACAAACAGTGGATCATCCTATCAAATTGCAGTTGTGTGTCCTTTCTTCCTTCACATGTTACCCCGTAGGCATAATTTTAACAATTATTATTATTAATCTTCATTTTGTGTTTGCTCTGGGAATGGTGATGAATGCCTTAAGGGTAACCATCTGGAACCTACATCTTTCCAAAGGAGATATTTAGAAGCCTCAGATTTGAAAGGAAAGATTTTTTTTTTTCCTTAAAGCATCTTTATCTTTTCCTGGTTGCTCTCAGGTACAAGGTTAAGAAAGGAAAGGGGGCAGAAATCTGAGACCAGAAATGAACCTTCCGGAGATTTCTTCTGCTTCCTAGGAAGAAAAATGTTTTTTCCTCTCTTCTGTCCGTGGAGGTCAAGAGATTTGCAAGTATCCTATGTTATCCCCATGGAACACATCCCGAGGGCCCCTTAAAGAACCGCCAGCTGCCATCGTGGAGGGCTGCAGGGTGTAACAAGGAGCAGGGACGAGCTGAGGGACTTCCTCTGTGCCCCGTGAGATACAAGGCTACCTAATCTGCTCGCTCTTCAGACTGAAACCCAGAGGCCACTTCGCTGGTTGCTCTCAAGTCTTTCAGTGCCTGACTTCTGAAGAAGGCTGCCGCACAGACACAATGCTCATTTTCCTCCTTGCCCCAAAGGTGTTCCTAATCTCTGGAATCTGGCAAAGAGGCCTTTGCACATGTGCTAGACGAAGGCTCTAGATGGATGTTACCCAGATTATCTGAGCGGGCCAGTGAAATGGAAAGGGGAAGGGGGAGGCCCCTGCCCTAGAGGACGGAAGGGCCGTAGGAGGAGGGTGGAGACAAGGGAAGTGGGAAGAGAAAGGAGCGGATCTTCTCTACAGGGGACGGAGCCCTGCGGACGATGTTATGTCTTTAGCCTGAAAGATCCATTTCGGATCTCTGACTTCCAGAATTGTAAGAGATTAAGTCTGTGTTGCTTTAAGCCTCTTAAGCTTGTGATAATTTACTACAGCAGCAATAGAAAACCTATACAGCTGCCACTGGGCTCTATGTTTTAACTATATTATGATATGGCATTCAACATTTATATTTTTTAAAATACTCAATTCAATTCACTTCCTCAACTACCCAGAGTACAGCGGGAAGGGGTCAAGATGTGGCTGCGTGGCTAGCGTCCAGGACTCAGGTTGGTCTGCCTAGCGCCTTCTGCCTAGCTAGGAGTCTGCCCTTACTCTGGGCCACTCAAGCCTTATAATGTCACATGTGAACATTTGGCTTATTTCAGACAGTTCTTTCTGGTGAAACCAGGTGGGCTGAGGTCAGAGGACCTTTGGGGGCTGCTGCTGTGGTCCAGGTGAGAGAGCATGAGCCAGGTGTGGGAAGAGTCAGCTTTTTTGAGAACCAGGGAGAAGACGCTGATGGGAAAGAGGTGTTGCAAGGAAGATAGTGGGACAGATGGGTGTGTAGATGAGGGAGACAATGGAGAACAACCCCGAGGTCTCTGGTAGGTGAAATGAGTGCCCCAGTGACTGGGGTGGGGCAGGGGGACATGTAAGTGTGAGGCGCTGGAGGGCACTGGAAGGAAACCACTCATGCAGAGGGGCAGGCGGACGCTTGGTCCCTGAGCTCAGGCCTGAGGTGTGGTCTGGGGACATGGATCTGGGAGGCAGCTGAGGTCAGGGGAGATGAGTGTGGAGGACAAGAAGCTACACAGGGCCAGGAGCCTGAGGAAGGAAGACATTCAAAGGCAGAAGGGTCAATGAGGAGACAGGGCAGGCCCAAGAGAGGCCGAGTCATCGAGGAGAGGGCAGTTCTGGAGGAGGGGAAGGTTTCCAAAGACTGAGGGACGCAGTAGTAAGAGACAGACTTGCCACGGCACCAGCCAGGCAGGACTCACAGCACCTCTGACACTGTGGGGAGGAGCGTGGGGGGCCAGCGGCTGGCCAAGCAAGTGCAGGGACGTTTTAGGAACCTTCCCAAGGGCTCCCTGAGGGCAGACCTGCCTTCCACAGAGCTGAGTGTCCCAGTGTGGAGAGACGGCTTCCCCACTGCTCCCAGCGGACCAGGTCCCACATCTGGCCAGGCATCCTCCAAGGAGCCAGGAACTTGCCCACAGAGCCACAAGGCAGGCCGAAATGGTTGCCAAGCTCCAGTCCGAACACGGTTCCCTATTTTCCCAACCATTACTGTAAACACCTGTCTGAGGCTCTGCCCTGCCTGACACTCAGCAACGGGAGTCATTTTCATCCTTTGTTCCAGCTCACACCACGTGCAACACAGGACCAGGAGCCATCTGCAAAGAGAGCCACTGGGCAGGTCGCCCACTGCCCACCTGTGGAGCCTCACTCCACTTGTTTTTTACAGTGATGGCAATCAAGCACTTTCCTTCTAAAACAAGGAACCAGAAGGTCTGCAGCTGTAGTTTCCTGGGTCTCCTCAAACCATTACCAGAAGCGAGTACCAGGAATCAAACAGATTTCCCCATTTGATTACTGAGCTCTTGTGTTTCCACCTTTTTTTTTGTTCTTGTCCTTTTTGTGTTTTCCTTAGTGACTATTCCCCCAGAGAACCAGCCTCGAGTTCTGCCACAGAAAAATGTCAGGAATAAGACATCTTTGACAGCCTCAAATTTCTTAATGGCAAAGAAAAAGGACCAACGATTGCTTTTATTTTTCTCAACTGTACAGCATTCTAATCCCCCTCAGGGGCTCGATCCATCTTTATGGAATGAATGAATACACAATTCTTTCTTCAAATGGATTCTAGTAAAGAAAACAGCCAAGAAAGAGAGCCAGGGATTTAGCTCAGTGGTTCTGCCATCTGCCTCGCAAGCGCAAGGACCCGAGTTTGATCCCAGCACAAAAAAAAGAGAAGAAAACAGCCAAGACAGAATAATCCACCCTTTCCCTAAATCTCTCCCCTGCCTTTTAGGGTAAATGGAATTTGCTGATGTTTACTCCTCCTCCAAATTTGAGAGGTGACTGCAGACCTCTTAGCCATCACATAGGCTGATTTTTCAAAGTCCCTTCAGCAGCCCCAGGACCTGGAGTAAGTGCAGTAGGGGAGGGATGTGAACTGTCACTCCTTTGAGGTGTCAACCTGTCCCGGTGTCACAAGGCCAGTGAACCGAAATGTATTTTTTCTACATGAGAAATTAAAACTTGCCTCCCTTCTGTAATTGCTGGCTGGATCTAGTTTTGCTTCCTGGTGGGGCCCCAAACAAGCTGACCTTGTCCGCCACAGGACAGCCCGTGGAACTGGCCGTGACCCTCCTTCCGCCTGCCTGCCCTATTAGCCTCACCCTCCATCGGCTCTCTCCACACCTCCTCTGCTGCGATTCCGTACCCAGCCTGCACCATTTGATAACATCGTTCACATAATTTATATCTGCTTGATCACATACTTGCCTTTATGCAGGGAATCTGAAGGGTGACATAGGATAGGCAATGACAAATGGCAGTTACTATTACAAGGGAGAAATTAAGAGGAAGCCCACTTTGAAATACTGTCTCCTTTTCCGCGAGGGATGTTTTAATAAATGTCTGCACTCATTTGAATTGCACGAAGCCTTCCTGAAATGGGCCCAATTACCCTTTCCTCCCAGCTTGTCTGTTTGAAGCTGCAGTCCCCTGGAGTTGTCACCAGCATAGTGACGGTCCCACCTGCGAACGAGGACAAAACAACAACAAAGGGCTGTGGGCCAACAGCACATTTCTAGCCTTTTTTTTGACACAGGGCCCTCTCCTCTTTGTTTCACTTACACAGCGTCCAGCATGGGATTCCACATGGGACTTGAAAAGGGGCCCACAGGAGGACACAATGGACTTACAGGGCTCTGAGGCTGTACCAAATTGTGGTTAATGTAAGGCTGGGAAGAAAAATGAGTCCTGTTTCCAAGACTCTGCTCTTGCTTCCGGATTAGGCTCCTGTTGTGGGGACAGGAGGGCGAGGAAGAGGGAGGAAGGGCACAAGACGGCTCATCCTCCTGCAGGGCCAATCCAGAATATCCCTGGTGGGTTTTCTTGTGCATTTTACCCACTCTCACATTCACCACACGTGAGCAGCCCTAATCTCACAAGGCTCAGCCCCTGGCTCTTTTTCTCCTTCACAAGTGTGAGAAGAGGCTGGGTTCTGAAGCTCTGAGAGAGGCATCCCAGCAGCCTGGCAGCTGGGTGCACACACATTCCTTGTGGGGAATTCTTCACCAGGCACTTCTGTGAGACCCACAGATTGGGTAAACAGCAGGTTTGACATCGACCACCTGTAATTATCAGCATGGCTCGAGTGACCCGGCATTATTTGTAGCTCTCTTTAGCACAGAGGCTTGCTGTTAATACTCAGAGCAACTGTCTCCCTGTGAGGAAACCCGAGTACACACCGAGGGCAGGAGCTACTGTAACAAGAACCCGAGGACACCCTCACAGTGACTCCAGCAGGACTCCTCTGGCCTCAGGAGAGGCAGCTTGGGACCGCACACTCAGCCCTGGTCCTCCAGAGCCACCTCCCTGTGCCACGACAGCCTCAAAGGGCCTAAGTTCTCCTCTCACACCTCTGCAAGTCCGGTCCTGGAAGGGAGCCCCACCTGGTCTCTGCTGTCTCCCTCTCCTTCCAAACCCCCAAGCAATGACAGGGGGCCACGGCAAGGGGGAGAAATGGAGGCTAGATGGGCAGTCAGGACACCCCAGTGGGTGCAGGAAATTTGCAGTGAACACGGGCAGAAGACTTATCTTCCCTTTCAGCTCCCAGCCAGGCAGGGACTTCACCTGAGCTCAACTCCCATGCAAAGACTAGCACAGCATCTCTTCATTTTCCCCAGCAGTAATCACCATCATTTCAAGGAGGAAAATCTCAAAATACCCTTTTCCCCTCAAATGTGGAGTTTTTAGGAGCTAAGAGAGCTAGAGAATGGCGGAGTTTAAGGCTTCCAAATAGTCAAACGGGCAGGCTGACATTCAGAGTACCGGAAAAAGGCACCCGAGGTATAAATACGGCTCACTTCATACTTTTCATGGTTCTTTCTCCTAGGAGGGAAAGGAATAAAGGCCCATATGTTTTGGCTAATGATTGATAATGAAACTGACCCAGTGCCATCACATTACCATCAAAACTTTAGAAAATACATATGCACTAATATTAATTCTTCAAAAAGCACAAAAATCCTCCATGTATAACATGATACGTAGCCCAAGCATTTCTACCCCAATGACTGTCACAGGCTGATCAGGGTTTTCAGCTGTTAGTAAGCCCTGAGTGTCTGCGGAGCTACTCCACGCAACTGCTCGCCCATCACCTTCCCCAAATAGGGTCAAACCCAGCGGAGGATTAGACATGAACTCCAGGCTCTGTTGTAAATGATGGAGACAAATAGGCAAACACCACAAAACAAAGTTCTGCCTATCAAAGGCAAGGACGGCTGTGAGGATGGTGATGCGTATGGAGAAAGCAAGTGAGCTTTGCCAGACACGGAAGACACCACACCACAAAGGGGAAGAAGTGAAAATCGGCTGGTTACCTCTCTCTGAATCCGGGAAGGCATGAGGGAACAGAACAGAAACGACACGTTAGCATTCACATGCGTCCAGCAAATAACACAGCAACTCTGAGCATTGGCGGCCCATCTTATTCCCAACTTTGCAGCAATTAATAATAGCCCTTTGGTGCTTATTTTAGCTGAACTCTGCCCCCAGAAGAGTCTATTTTGAGCCACATTACGATGAAGCCAAGAGTTTCCAGCTGAATTTACAGAGGCAACATGTCAACTGGGAGAGGTAATCACGCTGAAAATATCACAGTCAAATACAGAAAACTTCAGTAAACACTGGCAGAGGACTTATCTTCACTTTCCACCTCTGTCAGCTCCTGATAAAAACCACACAGTGACAATGATTCTGCCCAGCCTTACCTGTTCACAAGGCTTCAGTATTCTACTAGAGCCACAATACGGAAATGCAGGTACTTGCATGAAGCGAATCCCTGCTCAGGGCAGCATCGGGGAGACAGAGCAGAAAGTTAAGGGCAGAGGCAGGAAGGGCGAGAGCCAGCAGACCATAGCTCCAAGGGGAGGCGGCAGAGAAGTCCAGAGCAGAGAGGAGAGGAGCTGAGAGCAGCCTGGGTTTTGGAGGTGGCACATTTTGGTTCCATCCCCAGTGCTGCCTTGAGCACTCCTTTAACCCCTGACCCAGAGTGGTCACCATTCCCTTCCGGTCTTGTCACAGCCAATTTGGAAGGGCCCAAGGGCAGATCCCCCAGAGGAGTGACACACATGCATCATACAGACTGGACTGAAGAGGCAGGAGTGGAGGACAGACAACCAAGACAGGAAGAAAGCCATGGTCACAGAGGCTGCTGTCCCCTGCACCTGGCAGCTGGGGTCACGGAGCAGCCAGTGGGGCCTACAGGGCTGAGCGCTAACATCACAGAGATGGTGCCCTGCTCACCAGACAGCTGGGAAGCAGAAGGGCAGAGCTGTGCACCAGACACAGACCAGGGACAGTAGTGCACCGTTACACAGGGGAAGAATCAAAAGGCCCAGCGGTAGTTACATGGTCTCAAGTGAAAACCAACAAGGCTGAGCATCTACTTTAATATATGCTAGGAGTACAGGCACGTGATGCCTCACTCCGGTTTAACAACTGCCCTTATTTATTGAGCTCTGGCTCTGTACGCTCCCTCTTAGCAACCTGTGGGACAGTCTTACTGATTTCATGGAAAAATGATGAAACAACTTCAGAGATTGAGGCATTTGGTCAAAGTCACACAGCTAACATTGGTGAAGATGGTCTAAAGACAGGCTGCAGGATTCTATGCTAGTCTGCCTCCATGTCCCTGTGACAGGTGTCTCACACCTCTACACAGATGTGCAGAGCCCGCTAATGGTCTGCCCCCGCTGACAAACCCAGAAGGATCCTGTGTGCACGTACTCGAGGTGGGTCTGAAGACGACTTTGGCAAAAAGCTTAAGACATCTGAGGAACAAGCACCCTCCCTGCCTCTGGAGACGCACTGTGGGAGAAGAGGAGGCTGATGTCCCAGGAGAGGCCTCAAGCTGAGGAGGAGGATAGGACCCTGCTCCTCTGGGTTGGGTACTCACCTTCTCCTTGCTCACTGAGTGTCCATTTCCTGGGCCCCTGTGACACAGATTCCTCATCAGTGCAAGGAGGACAAGGACACTGGCTCAGGGCCACCGTAAGAAATGTGCAGAGCACAGAAGCAATGACCTGGATCATGAGGGCCGTCGGCCTGAAGTCGGGTGGGTTCGGGCGTCAGCTGGGCCGTGCCATGTGGCACTGGAGATGACTCTCCACGGAGGGACAGTCACCGGGGAAGGGGCTGCAGCCCCTCACACTTCGGACACCGCGTCCCTCAGGAGGATGCGGTCAGCTCCGGCTCAGGCCCCTCTGTGCTTCCTCGGCCTCAACTATGGAAGTCGATTCCCGGCAGCAATTCAGCTTCACACCAAAGGGCCCCAGGGCCTGGGTTCTGCCCTACTTCAAGCACACCGCTGTGCACCCTCAGCAGGTCATGAGCCTGCCGTGCCTGGGTCTTCCTATCTCATCTGATTCTGATCAGAAAAAGATGTCAGCTCTTTGACTCGGACGACAGAGAAGAAGGAGCAGGCAGTGTTCCTTGACTAGCTCCTGGTCTATGCCAAAACCTTTACTTTCTTACTACTAATAAAACACCTATCTAGTGTATGATTAAAAACAGCTCTACAGTCCTGAATGTAAGGACCTGAGAATACAGTCTGTTCCTTTTGTGTACAATTATCACTGCTGCCTGGGATATTTAAAATCTGACTCACTGCCATTTATTCACATAAGGAAATAACTAATATGTGGCCACTGTGTTTCTCTAAAGGCAGAACTTGGAAAAAAAGATACTGTAAACTCCAAATACTGTTAATTATTTGCGGGTTAATAGACACTGCTTGATTTAAGTGTGAGGGGAAAATCCTGTCACAGCCAATTTGGAAGGGACCAAGGGCAGATTCCCCAGAGGAGTGACACACGCGTCATACAGACTGGACTGAAGAGGCAGGAGTGCAGGACAGACAACCAAGACAGGAAGAAAGCCACGGTCACAGAGGCTGCTGTCCCCTGCACCTGGCGGCTGGGGTAATGGACTTCAGAGGATTTCTGAAATATCACTAAAAAATCCACAAGGCCCACAGACAGTGGTAGCTGCTCTACCTAATTCAGTGCCTTTGCACATTTGTTGGAAAAAAGAAAACCATCAGCCCAAAGCTGGGCTTCCGCACAAGACAAGCCATTCTGTGAGTGCAGAGGCTAAATTTAGAGTCAGGCACAGGCTCACTCTTGCCTCTCTGCCCAAGATGCCAATGGAAAGAATTAAACCCCAAGATAATTCCTCTGGCACCACACACCCCAAGGCCACCTACTCAGCATGCTCTTGGGGGCTGCTCCTTGGGAAAGTGAATGCATGAGTAACTGGCTATGCGTATAGACCAGAAGTAAGAGAACTACCTGGCAGGTGTAACTGGGCATTCAAATAGTAGGAAATTCCTAAGAATGAATGGCAGCAAAGGGGCACGTAGCAGAATGACAAAGTCCATTCCGCCTCTCCGGGAGTGGGTGCCATTGTCTCCTCCTCCTCCCTGGCCAGGCCCTACTTCTTACGCAACACACAACATTCCCCTCTCATACTGAGCACACAGGCAAGGCCTCCTGCTCTGCTGGCAACCGTGTCTGTGGAATTCCATTATGTGTGGTCCTTTTCTTCTGCATGGGGGCGGAATAGACGGGAGGCATAGGATTGAACCCAGGTTCTTCACAATGAGCTATATCCCCAACCCTTTAAAAAAATGTTTTACTATGAGATAGGGTCTAAAGATGCTAAATTGTCCGAGCTAGGTTTGAACATGTGATCCTCCTGCCTCAGCCTCCCAGACTGCTGGGATAATAGTGAGCCACTATGCCCGGCTGCATGCTATATATATATATATTTTTTTTTCTTTTTCTTTTTTTTTTTTACTCTTATTGGGTTTATTGGTACATTTTAGGTATATGGTAGTTACATTCATCATTGGGATCTTGCGCCCCTTACATGACAGATCTTGGTTCTCATTTTTTCCCCATACCCCTGCCCTCCCTTTGCATGCTATTTTTTGATGCTTGTCTATGTCATGAAAATTCTGGCTTCTGTACCTGATGGCTTTTTTTCCCCCCTCCAGCTTCACATATTCCCCCTTTCATGACTGATAGTTTTTAGCAGTTTGCCCTTGGTTGGGGCCTGTCTTAGTCTTTCTTCTTCAGTTTCTTCATCTGTGAAGTGGGCACACTAGTGGAACTCACATCTTAAGAGATGTAAGAATTGCATGTAAGTTAATCCATGGAGAACTCCTGTGTGTTGCAGGAATGGCTTGTAGTGTGGACTTGTGTGGGTTAGGCCTGTAATCACTTTGACAAGGGGAAGACAGGCCCAGGGGAACATTCTTAATTTGTTTTAAATCATGCCATCTTTTGTAATCTGATGGCAACAATCCAGAAAAAAAATATGCCCAGACTCACAATTTCATAGAAATTCTGAACGGTGCTAGAGCTGCAAAGTTTCATCAATCCCCAAACTCATTCCTGGAACCCTGTAGAAGCTTGTACCCCGCAGGTGAAGGACATCAGAACTGAAGTGAATGCTAAGTTGACACAAATTTCCCATGTGGATTCTGGGAAAGGGCGGGCCTATCCTTCCCAGGACCAAATGGCGACAGGAACACCTGCCTTGGACCAACTGAGCTTCCTTTCCCAAAGCAAGCTCTGCTTCTACCCGCCTGGCCTGCAGCGCCCCGCAGAGCCACAGCAATTAACTGGGCACCAGGGAGTCAGAGTTCCAACTGGTTAAGTGTGAGGCCCAAGGATTCAGAGCAGTGTAATTGAAATTCGAGCCACGTTCTTCTAAACAAAGACCTTTCTCATGCCTTTGGAAAGAAGACACAATAGTTACCAACCAGCTTACTAACGAGAGAGGAAAGAACATTTAAAAATAAGCAAGGGATGAGCACTTTTTAAAAAGTCCATCTTTGAAGACAGCAAGAATTATCAAGCCTCAACTTTCATCTGAGCTGGATTAGAGTAAAAACAGAACTCAAAATCTTGCTTCTCTGTCTGACAGGAGACACACAACTTGTATTTAATTCTCAAGTGAGGGACACCTCAAGCGAGGCCACGGCTTCAAACTAAAAAGTTTAGGGTAGCCTCAAGAATAAAGATATATAACTTATACCTAAATTGTGAAACCATGGGCTGGCTTCCTTCCCAAAAGTAGAGATGGGAAAATACAAGCCCTGAACAGAGATGCCCAGAGGGCTCCTGTCTGATGGTGCAGGAGTGTGTGAAGGTGCAGGCTCTGATACAGAGCAGATGACATCTCCCCAAACCAGGCAGAGGTTTCAGTCTAAGAAGTGCCCAAGGGTACAGATCCTGGCAGGAACAGAGCTACACATAACCCCACAAAACGCAGTGACAGGCTGGGGTGGTAGCTCAGTGCCTAGAACAGCTGCCTGCAA